TCATGAAGGGGGAGATGGTACATGACAGGTGTATAGTCGCCATTTTGGGCAGTCGGAATCCAGGACAACCACCCCATAACCCAACCCAATAACGCACATACTAGAGGATATGGGGAAATATGTCCACAGCTTTATTTAGCAAACAATAATAATAACAATAATAATCATAATAATAACTTAACAAGTAAACATGGGTCATTGCCCCCCATACTCCGCCCTCGCATCCTATTCCTTCCATTAACATATAAAGGGCAATGACCCCCATATAAATAAACATATATATATAACATACATCAACATTATTCCAATCGATGTAAAGTGCCAACCATCCATTAACCACGGCAGGGGTATACCCGGATACCCCTACCCCACCAGGTTCTGAGCCACCGACAGGACTCGAAACCTATCAACCACCAATGACCACCACTTGTTTGTCTTCCATTACGTTCATCCTGGGGAGCCTATTTCCTCTCCTTCAGCTCCCCGTCCCGCCGCTGTGAAAAAACGGGACAAAACCACACATAACAAAACAGGGAGGGTGGGTGGGACAAACTTAACCAGGTAGGAAGTTAAAATGAATTAACTAAAATGGCTGCCCATTTAAATAACCAAACCCACTTACCCATAACTCCACTCCCTTGCTTACTTCCTCCTAGGCCCGCCTCCTAACCCCTGTCAAGGCCTTTTTCCGCTTAGCTGCGCTTGGCTACATGGGGCTACATGAAACAGCAAAATCAGTTTATACTGATTTTCCCACGTCTAACAGAAGAGAGCACATTTAGGTAGCGGACACATAAAAAGATATTTAAATGAGGATCTTATGGAGCCATACCTGCAAAGACTCCAAAAAAAATCAGCTCCCAGGAATCATTAAACCATCCATAGTTTATTCCTGCAAGGACCTCTACAAAAAATTAAGCAAACTATCTTATTAAGAGAGATAAGTATCATTATTTGACTTAAAAAAAAATGCATATACATAAGCCATTTCATTAAGTATAACCCCTATTTCTAAATATAGGCCCAAAACTAAGATGTGAAACACTTGGTTTCAGATTAGTCTGTTGCTGAAACAGTTAATTTATTTCTAATATGATTTCAAATATTTAGTCTACTTGTTGCAACTGGAATGTTCGGGCCTACTGCCATTTCTTTAGATTAGTATTCCCAATCTGCAGGTTATACTCTATCTGGCTGCTACTTTTTCCAGTATATTGTAGTTAAAGAAGGTCAATAAGCAAAAACATCCATGGAGAATCTATTGTCATGTACACCAGCTCCTGTCTTATGTGAAAATCAACAGGAATCAAACCTTTGTAAAATGTCCAGGTAAAAAGCACTGCAGAAGTCTTTAAAGGACCACTAGAGTGCCAGGAAACCATACTCGTTTTCCTGGCACTATAGGGTCTCTAGGTCCCCCCCACCCTCAGGGCCCCCCTCCCGCCGGGCTCTAGGGGGTGAAAGAGGTTAAATTTACCTCTTTTTCCAGCGCCGAGCGGGGGACTCTCCTCCTCCTCTCCTTCTTCTCGTTGTCATCGGCTGAATGCACATGCGCGGCAAGAGCCGCACGCGCATTCAGCCAGTCCATAGGAAAGCATTCTCAATGCTTTCCTATTGATGCTGGCGTCTTCTCACTGTGAAAATCACAGTGAGATGCGCGGAAGCGCCTCTAGCGGCTGTCAATGAGACAGCCACTAGAGGCTGGATTAACCCTATTATAAACATAGAAGTTTCTCTGAAACTTCTATGTTTATAGAGGAAAGGGTTAATCCTAGCTGGACCAGGCACCCAGACCACTTCATTAAGCTGAAGTGGTCTGGGTGCCTATAGTGGTCCTTTAAGGGGCACTATAGTCACCAGAACCACTACAGCTTAGTGCACTGGATCTGATGTCTATGGCTTGTCCCTTCAGACTTTTCAGTTTAAACGCTGCCTTTTCAGAGACAAGACAATGTTTACTTTGCTGGCTAGTAACACCTATAGGTGTAGTCACTCAGACAGCCTCTAGAGCTGCTTCCTATTTCAGCAGCATCTACGTTCAATGTCTCTATGCTCTGCATGCATCTCTATTAGGAGATGCTGATTGGAGCAGGGTGGCTTTCTTATGGAAAAGCATTGAATTTGCAGAGGCAGTGCCAGCTGCCAGCAGCGAGACAAGCATGGCAATGGAGAAAGGGTAAGAGTAAAACATTTTAGCTCCACTTAGGGTGGCCAAGGACCAAAATAGCTAGTCCAACACTATAGTGCATGAAATATGTTTGTATCCCTAACCCTATAGTGTTTCTTTTTTAAAAAAAAGTTTGATAAAGCTTAAAAATCTTGCCAAAATTAGGAACCAGGCATTCAAATATATATATATATATATATATATATATATATATATATATATATAATATATATTTTTTTTTTTTTTGCATACTATCTGTTAAGAATAAAATGTAATAATAATCCCTCACAGAGAACTGTTTTTAGAATAATGTGTTATGTAGAAATAAACATACAGGGTTTAACTCACTAAACACCACACTGTAGTAAAACAAAAACAGAACATTGATTTGGGTAAATTCTTCAAAGTAGCCTGCTTTTTTCGACCTACATGTTGCAGTTACATTTCATTTACCACATTTTGATGCTTAGGAAAGTAACCTTATTTTTTTCTATTATTGACTGGTATGCATTGCTGTCATCTTGTGTACATACGTGTTTATATAACACAAATGTAAACATTCTGCAATTGACAAAAATAGCATTGATCCTATTATGAACAAAACCTCAAACGTCATGCTGTTTTTCTGATAAAATAATGGGAACCATTTATTATAGAAGCCTGTTTTCTAAGTCAGTAATGATGTGAGGTTCACTGGATGGGGCCAGTAAAAATTAGATTTAAAAAGCAATGGTTCTGTTCCCTTAATTTGTTCTTCTCTGTTATCCATCTTTTATATTACATGCTTTTTTAAAAAGTTAGAGCTAGGGTTCTTTTTAATTTAGGGCAGAACTAGGATACACATAGGCCAGTGGTGGGAGTTGCACTAGCAGTGTTTTGTGTCCGCTGTCCTTAGTTTAGCTCCAATTATGATAGGTTGGAAGGTGGGCTGGAGAGACAGCTTCATATGGCATAATCACACTGTCTCTCCAACCATTCTAACCGTACATGATTTTTGTGAGAGTGTCTGATTAATGATACTCAGTATGTATTTCCCACTAATCTTGGGTAAACTGTGTCCATTGAAATAACTAGTAGATTATATAATAAATATTTTTCTTTAACTCTATTATCTTATGTTTGTAACCTATATTCTCTTTTTATTGATATTTGGTAAGAAAAGGCCGCATACACAGAAAAAGTGCTGAAATGGCAATGTAAAACGCACCCATAAGGCGAGTCTCTCCTGTTCATTACAAACAGTCCAGAGGTAGGTTGTTGGGGTTACGTGGATGAGATCACAAATAGAGCAACAATGGGAAGTGTTTCTCTATTGCTCGTTCTCGTAAGGCAATAATATTCATATCCATAGTTTGACTGTGTTTGAAAACATGGCTTTTACCATATATTACATTTTCAGATGTTCAGACTGTAGAATCAAATTCCCAGTTGAGCTGTTACTTTAAAACACTCTGATCACAAAAGAAGATCTGCTTATCACAAACTGGACACATCCTTGGATTATTTAGCTCACATAATTTTTGGTAATTATAACATTCCAGATTTCTTATACAATGGAAGGCCCACAAGGGATATCCAATTTATTGGTTTCTTTATTATCTGTCAATATAGTTGGCAAGACACGATAATTTATTCCCATAGAAAAAAAGAGCCGATAAACCCTCATGCTACCATAACAACTCTGATGCATCAAGGCATGGACTCCGCAAGACTTCTGAATGTCTCTTGTTGTATCTGGCACCAAGACATAAGCAGCGAATCCTTTAAGTTCTGCAAGTTGCAAGGTGGGGCCTCCATTGATCGGATTTGTTGTTCCAGCAGATCCCACAGATGCTTATCCGGTTTGAGATCTGAGGAATTTGGAGGCAAAGGCAACACCTTAAAACCTTTGTAAAAAAAATCCTAGATAATCTTTTCAGTGTGGTAGGGTACATTATCCTGCTGAAAAAAAGCCAATGCCATATTGAGATACCATTGCCATGAAGGGGTGTATTTGGTCTGCAACAATCTGTAGGTAGGTGGTACGTGTCAAAGTATCATCCACATGAATTCCAAGACCCATGGTTTCCCAGCAGAACATTGGTTCGCTGGCCTTCCTTCTTCCCATAGTGTATTTTGTTACCAGGTAAATGACACACATGCACCCAGCCACCCACCCACTTGATCTAAAAGAAAAGTGATTCATCAGACCAGGCAACCTTCTCCTACTGCTACATGGTCCAGTCCTGACACTCACGTCCCCATTGAATGGGGTAAACAGGGGTCGCCATGGGCACTCTAACTGATCCCTATATACAGCAAATGTCGATGCATTGTGTTCTGACACCTTTCTATAATGGACAGCATGTGCCCAAGGCTTCAATGAGCCTTGGGCACATGACCCTGATGCCGGTTCACCATTTATTGTTCCTTGCATCATTTTTGGTAGGTACTAGCCACTGCCTACCGGGGGGCGGTAGGAGATGCTCTGATCCAGTCAACTAACCATCACTTTTTAGCCCTTTTAAAGTCACTTAGATTTTTTCACGTGTCCATTTTTGCTGCTTCCAACACATGAAATTCAGGAACTGACTGTTCACATAATGCCTAACATATTTCACCCCTTGACAGTTGGCATTTTAACGATATAATTAATGTTATTCTCTTCACCTATTAGTGGTTTTAATATTGTAGCTGGTCAGTATATTGTCACATGTGCATAATTAACATCTAGTACTAGTATAACCCCAATCCAACCTAGACGACTAGCCATTTTATGTTTCCTCATTTAATCACCACCACTGTCTCCCATCTATCCATCTAAGGCAGATTGCAGATATAGTGCATGTGTGAAGGGTTAGTCTTCTATACCAGCTGCTTGAGAGACAGAAGCTTTCTGTCTAACCTAAGCTCAGAAGAGCTAATTGGATGAGAGTGATCAGCTGAAGTTCTCAGTCAATTAGCTAGCTAAGTTCAAAGCTAACGGAAGCTCCAAGGCAGGATCTTCTGATTCTGTAGCTGTAGTAGTGGCAGGCAGATCCCAGGTTAGAAGTCAAACCTCTCTTAAATGGTTTGTATCAGGGGTGTTGCTGGAGCCCAGAGTCGGTTCCTGAAAAGCTTGATCTGATCTACGAAGACTTACATTATTAGCCACATGTCTCCAATTTCAGCAGGAAGCAGAGGAGCTTCTCATAGCTCCACCCCCTCAACCCACCAGAAATCAGGCTGCTCTCCTGACCTGGGTATGAAGTCTGCTGCTGCTCCAGGCTGCTCCTGTAGCCCATGAACCAGGCTCCTCACTATAACCCTGAGTTACTAGGTCACCATTGTGTATGAGCAGCACAATAAGGGAATGGGTGGGTGCTGGGAAGAAACTCATTGTTGCTAATATAAATCTTAGCAGTGATTCCAGCTTCCCTTTCCAGGCAGTAACTGATTCCCTTCAGAAGCCCAGTGCAGCAGAGATTAGTAAAATATTTGTCTGTAGATTTTTAAATGTGAGTTGTTTAACAGTGAAGTGCATGAGGTTAGTGTCTGTGTGAATGGTGTGCTGAAATAGTGGTATGTGTGTGTTTCTGTGAGCTGAGGAATGTAGATATTTAAACTGTAGAGGGAGATAAAGAATTAACTTTGGAATGTGCAGGGCTGTGTTTAAATGCCAGGGGCCTATAGGCACAGTACTCTAACACTCCCTCAACACTGTTGTATAGAGAATCAATCAGTGCTGTCCTATGATATACAGTGTGCATCACTCAATGCTGTCCCTGCTCATACTGCACGGCACTTTCTGTTTGAGAGGCTGTTACTGCAAATGGGAAATGATCTCTTCCACTTCCTGTTTAGCCTCACTCACAGACACTGGAGGAACTGGGACTACTTCAACTGTTGGTGCAGGTCTAATATCAAGCATAGGAGGCTGACTAGACTACAATGGACACTGTCCAAGGCTCCTGGTATTTCTTTCCCTCATCAGCCCACCTAGGCTCCAAAAAGGCAGATTATAAGTGCTGTAACTAGGCACCCCCTACAGGACAGGCAACTAATGGGAATGTGAAATCTGGCCCTGGTAGTGTGGATTTATAACCTGGCAGGAGAGTGTTAACTGGCAGCGGGGGTGGATATATTATGGGAATCTCCATATTTGTTAAGATAGGCGATGTTAAGTAGTCTTGTAAAATTGAAAACTGTATTTTGTATGTGAGATTTTGGGCTTTATGTCAGCACCACTACTCAGAAATGCATGTTTTGGGTGTGCCCCCAATTTCCATTTTTTCTGTGTAGTTAGCTTGTGTGTGTGTGACAATGAGCTTGTCTATAGTGAGCGTGTGTGTGTGTCAGTGAACGTGTCTGTAGCGAGCATGCGTGTGTCAGTGAACTTGTCTGTAGTGAGCATGCATGTGTCAGTGAGCCTTTCTGTAGTGAACATGCACGTATGTGTCTAAGCTTGCCTGTATTTGCGTGTGTGACAGTGAGCTTGTATGTAAAAAGCACCTGTGTGTATACCAGTGAGTTTGTCTGTGCTAAGGTTGTGTGTGTACTAGTAAGCTTGTCTGTGTACGTCAATAATCTTATGTGTGTCAGTAGGATTGTCAGTCAGTGAGCCTATTTGTGTTTTTGTGTTTGAGCCCATCAGTGAGCTTGTGTGTGTCAATTAGATTTGTGTGTGAGCCTGTGTATCAGTGATCTTGTGTGTTAGTGTCAGTGAAATTGTCTGCCTGCTTGTGGGTATGCTTACTGTACATTTCTTACCAATATTTTGGATTAAAAAAAAGAAAAATACCTATATACTTTAGTGGTTATGTTAAATATTACTTTATAACGTTTACAATATAGCTATGTCTTGCTATCCCAGGTGATTTAGTAATTCATAAACATAATTTTTATATATACACACTATGTGGCACAGTGACTTATAGGGCTAGCATATATTTCTTCCAGGGCTGCTTTGTATTCCCAATCCCTCCGTATTAACAAAAACCTAGGCTCTGAGAACTGGAATTCATCAATAGTAGGAGTGCCGATTTTGCTTTAATATCTATATCTGTCATCTATGTTCATTTGTTATTGTCGTTTAGTGTGTGTAATGATAGAGCGCTTTCCTGCAGTTTTGTTTGAGTGTGGTGTGTGTAACCATGGTGTTTTGTAGCCAAGTTTCTTAACGTGTTGTGTGCATGTATGAGTGCTTTGCTTAGTGTGGATGGCTCCAAACTTTCATTTTCATCTTGTGCGTTTAACTGGGAGGCATCTTGTTTCTGTGGAAGATAAATAACACACGGAAATTAATCGATCCACAGCAGCAATAGTTTGGGGGATAAGACAAGCAGGTCTTTTTACCTATTGATTTCTCTTCCAGAGCTCTAACACCAGACAGGTGGAGGCGATGGAGGAAGGGATGGGTAGAAATGGGAGCGGAGAAGAGGTGTACGTGAATCTTCTGTTGCTGTATGGAAGAAGGGCTTCTGTGCTAAGCCTAGAAGAAACGTCTGAATTCATGCCAACACCAATTATAGGAAAAAAGCTGCCTTCTTTTGTCAATAAGAGAAGCCGTTACACAATGCAGCTGCTCTAATAACATGAAACTAACTAAGAGCATAAAGTAGACATCGAAGTCCCCTGCAGCATCTGTATTACCTACCTTTTTGTTACAGATGACCTATTCTCTTGATTTAAACAATATCTGCAAAGACAGTCACGTAAACCCACATGGGATTTATCCATTAAACAGTGAGATATGGTTAGTTAATAATCAGCTTGATAAACATAGTCCAAAACAGCCAAGCTAGAAAAAAACATGTTGATTATTCTCCAATTCAGACATATTGTGCTTGATTTTCAAAACTGATTGAGAACTCAATGTCATTCGTTGTTTAGTAAATACACGCAAAGAGAACTATTCACTAAATTAGGGACTGTGGAGATCTCACAACATGTTAAGTAGTCTTACCAACTGTAAACATTTTGTATATTAATCTGGTGTATAAATATGTATAATGTAAAGTTAACGTGATAAAATAAAAAAAACACAATTTAAAAAAAATGCAGATTAAAGACAGGTGATTTTAAATAATCCTGTAAAATGTAAAACTGGACTTTTGTGTGTGCTGTCCCTTAATCTGTATTTTGTATAAAGTTTGATGTCAACGGCAGCACCCTTGCTGAAAAATGCATGTTCCAGGTGTGCCCCCAATTCCTGTTTTTCTTTATCTTTCTATGTATTTATGAAGACTAGACCAGATTAATTTCGGGTTGAGCAACCAGCCGAACCTCCAGCTTTAGATGCCCCTTCGGAGGTGACCATAGGAAAGTATACATTTGAGGAGGTTTTATATAGCAATGCTACTTTAATAATTAATAGTTTAATTGTTTTTATTTGATACAGAGCAGATATATGACATGCATTGTGAATATATTCAGCAAAGTACTATCACTTTAATTGTTTAGTTTTGACACTGCAATTTTTTTAATTGTGTTTTTTCTCACATTCATTTTGCATTATATGTGTTCCCAAAACTCTTACAACAGATTAACTGGATACAATTTAGTTCATTTAGTACTAGCAGTATTTAGTTTGTCTCCTACATTAAAATTAGTGTAAGATCCACTGATAAAGGGGTACTGGCGGGCTTAACACGATATGGACATATGGTGGAACTAAATACGCATATTTTGATAGGTAAATTTTAGATAACCGTGTAAAATTTAAAAATGAATTTTGCGTGTGCACTGTTCCTTAATCTGTATCTTATTAGCGACATCCATCTACACATGAATAACTAACCACTCACACTGGCATTGCACTTCAAGCTAAGCAGCACAATCACACACATACAAAGACACACTTACACACAAGAAAACATATTAATATACAGAGACATGAATACACACATAGATATACAATATATAGAATATATAGAACATATACAGTGGTACATAGATACACACTAGACATAGACATACACTTTCAAATACAAATTCATAGATAAATTCTAGCACATATCCATACATACATTCTAGCTGACATATAGATGTATACATACAAATATGCGAGGTCTATCCAGATATTATCCAACCATGTAATATGAAAAATAGAGACATTTACTGAAGAAGATACAAGAAGCAAAACACTCAAAATCTTTTGTTGGAATCCCTATCAGCTGCCTCGTCGTATTTACCTGAATCTCATGGACAGTCTGAAATCTCTTTTCTTTTAAAGGTGGTTTTAGTTTTGGGAAAAGCCAGAACAGATCAACAGATTTTCAACCATCTTTGTGCATTTGCCGTGCCTTTATTAGCGCTGCTTGTTGCATTGTCCGCAAAAGGCTTCTGAATCTTTTGAATCGTTTCCGTGGAGGAATTTTCAAGCTTAACGCAAAATTTTATGCAGATTCGTTGCTCTAGTCGCCCAGTCAGGGCTGAACCAAGGCATTGTGCTGCCTGGGTCCAAGGATGAAATTCTGCCTCCCCCCCACCCAGTGGCGGACTAAGGGGGGAGCGGAAGGGGAGGTCTGCCCCGGGTGCCACCAGATACACAGACATACAGACACACATACAGACCCTGGGTCTGGGTGCTGGAGGGGGCTGTGTGAGCTGTGGCCGCACAGTTGCCCCATGGTAGTTAGGGTGCCGTGCGGCCAGTACAGCTCACACAAGCAAACAGCTGCTGGACTGGCCGCACGGAGGAAAAGTGGGTACGGAGCTAAGCAAAATCGGGGGCGGAGCCAAACCGGCAGCAGGGGCGGGGCTTAATATGGCCCTTACCCGCTGCTGTTAGGAGGTGCAGCAAGATGGAATCTCTGCTTCTCCACAGGCTTCAGAGAAGGACTTCAGGGAATCCAGTCCTCCTCCAGCCCACTGTCTGTAAGTAAGAGTGTGTGTGTGACTGTGTGTGTGAGAGAGAGACTGTCTGTGTGTAACTGTCTGCCTGTAACTGTGTATGTGTCTGTGTGTAACTGTCTGCCTGTAACTGTGTGTGTATGTGTGTGTGTAACTGTCTGCCTGTAACTTTGTGTGTGTTTGTGTCTGTGTGTGTCACTCTCTGCCTGTAACTGTGTGTGTGTGTGTGTGTCTGTCTGTAAGTGTGTATGTGTT